TTCTGTGTGGAGTTTGCATGCTCCTCCGTGTCTGCTTAGGTTTCCTCCAGGTGCTCCGGTTTCCTCTACCCCTAAAAACATGTACAATAGGTGAGGGTAGAATGAGTTTGTGTTTGTTGGTGCGACTCTGGGACTACAGATGGAAATTGGCTTCATTGCTACCATCGGTCTCTCACTATGTCTCTCTCTGACCTGAGAACGCCTTCGGGTCCACTCAGATGAGCTGGAGGAAGTGTGTGTGGATAGGGAGGTCTGGGCATCTCTGCCTAGACTGCTACTCCCGCGGCCCACAACTGGATGAAGCGGAAGAAGATGGATGGATGGATGGATGGATGCTACAATCTTGTGTATTTACAGCTCCTATTGTATACACACTGTCCTGCCCAAATAAACAAACAAAAAATACGACTTTAAAGACCTTATGCAGGTTTTTTTTTTAAATTGTGGATATCAAAATTGCATGACAGTTAATCAATTATTGTCGATCTGAAATAGATTCTAGCAAAAAAAAAAAGCCTATATTTAATAAAAAGAATGTGTTTTTAATGAATTTAATTTGTCTATTCCTCTAACCTGTGTGGGACGTCATAGCGGGTAACGCCCTTACATTGAAAGCCATGGATCTATGCGACAGATACTCGCCTATCCTCTCTTCTAAGCTCCACTAATGTCCAACACACTACTGCACTCTACAGGTGTCAATCGCTCAATACACATAAATTGCTGTATGAGAGTGAAAATGCGACTGATTTGAGAAATGGGTTGAACCCCATTTGCCGGTATGCCAGTGCATTGACACAACCACTGGGCTATCACAGCTCCAGTGAGGAGTCATACACTAGTAGTAGTTTTATATTCGCTGTACACCGCCTTGTCATCTTGAATATCCGCGAAAAATGACCAAATACCAAATTGTAAACAACTTACAGCGTTGAAACGTACCCACTCTGACGTCACCAAGGGCTGTGAATTTTTTCTGTTTCTAAGGGCGTTGCTATGGGGTTATTTTGATTTGGGGGGATCAGACAAAAAAAAAAACTACTGATTTTGAAACCTTTAGTAGTTCTCTTCTAATATAAAATGGTATTAAAACTGTATTTCTAAATCAATCAAACCCTGCATAAGGTCTTTAATTATGGTAAAGGCACAATACATTTTATTATGGGACCTTTACGTGTTACCATGGTATATGCTGCCATGTTATACCTAAGTTTAGTAAGTAAGTAGTAAGTCATCTTTATTTATCTAGAGTCACAAAGCACTTTACAATTGTTGACATTTGTCTCTCACTCCACACAGAGATGGGAGCAAGGTCGCCATACAGGAGGGGCATGCTAGAGCTACTGTATAGTCACATGTTTTTAGTGGTAGGGGAAACCGGAGCACACGGGGGAACATACAAGCTCCTCCCAAAGACCCTGTTCCGACCAGGATTCAAACCCAGGGCCTTCTTGCTGAGAAGCGAGAGGGCCTTTCTGAGTGGAGTTTGCATGTTCTCCCCGTGTCTACGTAGGTTTCCTCCAGGTGCTCCGGTGTCCCCTACCACTAAAAACTTGCAAAATAGGTATGAATGTAATGAGTGAGTGAGTGGATGGCGCTGGTTGGGGCTTTGTTGGTCCATTGTGTTCGGCGACTCGCTTCCGTCATCACCGTGTTGAGAGAATGGAACGATATCTGATCTCTGAACATTGTAAAGCGCTTTGGGTGACCTTGGTCTGTAAAATGCGCTATATAAAATAAAACCGTACCTAAAGCCCAGTCACAAGAGTTCATCAGTCTAACATTGAACATGTACTTCTACTTTTCCAGGATTATATTTTTTATGTACAATTGTGATGAATTCAGTTAAAAATGCACCACCTCATCTCCAGAAACAAATGCATGGTCAACTTCTAAACGAGAGGCTCAAATTTGTTTCAGCAGATTAGCAGAGTAGCAGATGTTTTACTGCATCTTTGTGGCGGAGAGCTCTCTGTTTTCGTCCTGTGGCTTCAGAAAGTGGTGCTAATGAGCCTTCGAGCATCACTAATGCCCCATTACGGCTCTGACGAGAACTGCAGTGACAACCGCCAATGGCACTCAGTATCATCACCAACCAAAGACCATGGACGCCTGTGGCCGACACACAAAGATTGTGGATCCCAACTCGGCTACGAAGACGCCTAGGGGTATGACAGGGTATTGCAGGGGGTACTTACATATTGTTTTTGAGTATTTTTTATTAACTTGCAAACATCAATTCAATACAATTTATTCTTGTCTACAGCAGGATCACAGACAGCAATAAACTATGTTATTTTTAATCCCAAAATGTTGGGACACAAACGGTTACTGAGCCAAAGTAAAAGGAGCCAGAGCGAGTTGGAGCAGAACTTGGTCCATGGTACTAAACTCAGGCTGGGTCAATAGTCCATGAGCCGTGTCAGATTGTAGTTGGTTGAAAGGATAGACAAAGTGAGAGGGGAGACTGAATGCCCAAGTGGAAGAAAATGGATGGATGGATTTTTATCAATATCGAGATTGCAGTACTAAAGGTTTTAATAATAAGCTTTTTATTTTCTCTACTCCGGTCATAAAACTTTTTTCTATTCTTACCTTAACACTTTTTATCTATACTCTTTTTTTCTCTATCCTGAGAAAAAAAAAATTCTCTTCACTGGCCTTACTTTTATCTCTATTCTCTTTTTGTTCTATTAGTGTGAACAAAAGGGAGCCTTAACCATAAAAAGGCAAGTGGTTAATATTGACATTATTATGGCGGTCAGTGATACAAATACATTGTTGAACCAGGAAGTGCTGTGACTTCTTTGTACAAAAGTGGCTTATTTCTTATTATTGTCGAGCTTCTCTTCAAGCTGCTTTTACTATATCAAGGGCTAGTCTATTTTTCCAGGTTATTGTGATTATTATTCTCTGTCCATAATCTAAATGTCATTTCCCATTGATCCTCAAATTGCACCATGTCTCTCTACGTTTTGATCCCTTTAATTCTACTGAGCATTCTGTGTTTGTGCTGAAAACAAGGAGCGGATGGAGCTAAAATAACTTCAGTTCTGTTTTGGAAGAATGGTGTGAGATGCTGTCCTTCACAGGTGGCCTCTGTGACTCACTCCTGCAGACGTCACATTTGTTTGGATCTGAGTCACGGATCTCTCCACGCACTCAGAGACAGTGCTTTCTTTTTCATAACATGAGTTAAAGTAGCAATATGTAAGATTTTCAGGTCAAGTCATCATTAAAGGGCCCTAATCTGTCAAAAGGCATTCATACAACATGCTCTTTTCCAATACTTCTTTAACTGATAACAGTAGTTCAGAGTTATTTGAATTTCTAAATTAGTTTTAGAGCCCCTAAATCTTGTCATTGCTTTCATTTTGATGTCCCGCCCTCCACCGTTTCACCAATCAGAAAGTCCGTGATCCAGGTTGCCAGAACTCACAGCGTTGAGCTAATCTCACTGGTAAAAAACCATGTGGCGCAGAACAAAAAAAGGTCTCGTTATGATTCTCAAATCATTCATGAAAAAACAAGGAATAAAACCAGGATTTCTATCTTTGTGAAAAAGGTGTTGGTTATAGATTTGTTGTTGACAAAACTATTGTCTATTCAGCTGTTATGGTCCCAGCCGGATTCGTCTGCATATCTGGCAACCTGAGTCAGGGAGAGTGGGAGAGGCTGCAGTACCACAATTGGCCAGATTTTTACATATTGCTCCTTTTATATTGTGTTGGACGGAGTGAGCACTGATAAACTAAAACCAACCCTAATTCACTTTCACTAACCCTGATACTGTAAATTCCGGACTATAAACCACAGCTTTTTTCCTGCTGCGGCTGCGGCTTATAGGAATTTTGCCAAAGAACAGTCGACCAACAGAATTAATGAGTAGTTCAGGAGGTCTAATTAGAATGTAAGATTTGTCATTCAAGCAGCTTGAATACAGTTTAAAAGTCCTCACTTATAGTGTCTTTATGCAAATATCTCTATAATAATTTTTGTTGTTCTCTGTAACGACATAAAAGTGGAAAGAGACCTATAGGTGTTGCTCTTTACTGTTCTGCGTCACTGAAAGATCAAGAACAGTCAGTGACTCACTTCTTACTCTTATTACTCACAGTAAAACAAAGACAAAATTAATGTTTTATGAGCTACATTTTTCAATATTACAACGTGGGACAGGTGCGGCTTATAAAAATACAGTTTCATTATAAAAATTAGAACTTGCGGTTTTTAATCACGTGCAGTTTATAGTTCGGAACATACAGTACATGAAAGCTAAACCTAATATACAAAAGCTAACCCTGTGCCCGATCCTAATACAATAAAGCTAACCTTAACCCTATCCCTAACCCTAAAACACAACAGATAACCCTATCCCTAACGCTAAAACACAACAGATAACCCAATCCCTAACCCTAAAACACAACAGATAATAATAATGCATCGGTTTTATATAGCGCTTTTCTGGACACTCAAAGACGCTTCACATGTGTCATTATTCATTCACTCCATACACGGTGGTGATAAACTACTACTGTAGCCACAGCTGCCCTGGGGCACACTGACAGAAGCGAGGCAACCAGTATGCGCCATCGCATATACATATGTCTAGTATATATTTCCATTAGAGCAGGAAAGATACCCATTCAAATGCGTGTCTAAAAAGCCAATCACTGCTTTATTTACATTTACATTTCAGTAAATATCGAGCAAGCCTTTTTAGATGTGTTCTTCCTGTGTTACTTGAATTTGATCTTTAATGTTAATATATGTTTGTGCATGTTTTGCCAAGATGTGTGAAGCACTTTATAAATAAAAAGCTGCTATTTTGATCTACACTGTCTCTATCTGTAGCTGCCCTGGCAAGAAAAACATTGCAGATCATTTTACAGAATAGCTAACCTTATTCCGAACCCTGATAGTCAAAAGCTAATCCTAACCCGAACCTAAATGTGTATATATATGTGTTTGTGTGTGTGTGTGTGTGTGTGTGTTCTCAGACCATCCTGGTGGGCGACAGTGGTGTGGGGAAGACCTCTCTCCTGGTGCAGTTCGATCAGGGGAAGTTCATCCCTGGCTCCTTCTCCGCCACAGTGGGCATTGGATTCACAGTGAGACAACTTTTTCTATTCCATCAGTAAAATCCAGTTTGTTTTTAGTCTGTAGTCACAATCTGTGACTTTACCATCACACACTTTTACAACATGACACATATGCATGCAGGGTCTAGGCAGGCATGTCCAAACTCAGGCCCAGGGTTGCTGCCTTGCTCAAGTGAAAAGTTGAAACGGGATTACTCTCTCTTATTGGACGACTTTGCTAAAATGGACACAAAAATCGTTATCAGTGGCCCACTACCAAATGTGGACGGGAAGCAAATGAAATTCAGTCGTCTGTATCAGCTAAATACTTTCCTACTCAACGAATGTTCACGCAGAGGACTTGCCTTCATTGAGAATTTTAATCTGTTCTGGAATAGGCATGAGCTTTTTGAAGGGAAAGGGCCACATCTGAACACTTACGGAGTAAAAGTGTTGATGGATAACCTTTCTTTTGCCCTGAGACCTCAGCCTGCGCAGCGCGTGCAGCCATCGAAAGGGAGGAAGCCAACTCCAAAAGTCTCTGCACCTCCACCACCTCGAAGGTTCTCAACACCACCACCACCTCGAAGGATCTCAACACCACCACCACCTCGAAGGATCTCAACACCATCACCGCCTCAAAGGATCTCAACACCACCACCACCTCGAAGGATCTCAACACCTCCACTGTCATCAGAAGCAGCTGCATCATCACCAGCAGCAGCTGCATCATCACCAGTAGCAGCACCAGCAGCACGACCACCACCACCAACATCCTCATCCCCAGCCTGCTCCAAAGCAGCCACGCCTTCTTCATCTACAGCGCCTCTGAAGCCCCCATCCTCACCCCAGCCTACAGCAGACAGGCCTGTGCTGGGGTTTCCTCAACCACCTGCCCCTCCATCAAACACTCCCTCGCCACCTCCCATGGACCTGTCTTGGGTCCCCCCTGCCACGTCCACTCCATCAAGAGAGAATGGGGACACCTCCCTTTGTTTTTCATCCCCGCCTTCACTGTTAGACCTACCTGAACACTCTGCAGGGCTAATAAAATCGGCCATGAAGACTATTCCTCTCACACCCATATTAGCTCGATCTAGAGTCCTGTCCAACATGCTAAACCACTCCCCATATGTACCTCCAAAACCACCTAGGGTTTCCAATTCACCTACAAAAACCACCTCAGCCAGTCCCTCCCCTAACCTCATGACCATTCCACCCCCACTTCCCCCTCGTTCAACATCCAAAAACCTCTGCCTCAGCCCACCCCGGCCCTAACCCATCACCTAAAACCCTTCCACCTCCCTGCCCCCCTCGTTCAACACCCAAAAGCCACCCACCTCTCCATCCTCCTCCCCTGCCTTCCCCTTCCCCTCTTTTCTCTAAACACTAGGATGCACAGGGTCTCTGCTTCGCAGCCACTGGCAGTCTAGTTAGAGGAGAGACCCGGCTGGGGCCCTGTCATGAAGCCACCTGTGCCATTCCCTTAGTGATAACACAAAGAATACATTACAAAAAACATCTGGAGTTAATCAGTCTAATCTGGAAAATCTAATTCTTGTTCCGTATAAGAATCAGCCGACCGCAACCGCTGATACTGAAACTTTGAAACTTGCTACGCTTAATGTCAGATCTCTTTGTAACAAGTCTTTTTTAATCAATAATTTTATTTGTTCTCATAATCTTGATCTTATGTTCATGGCTGAAACTTGGCTTGACCAAAATTCAGAAAATGCAGTTTTAATAGAAGCATCACCACCAAATTTCAAGTTAGAATCTGAAATACGGGAAAACAAAAAAGGAGGAGGCTTAGCTGCCATTTTTAGAGACCACTTTGTCTCCCATAGAATGTCTCTTGGGAAGTTTTCGTCATTTGAATATGTGTCTTTTAAAATACAACAAAAACAATCTCCTCCAATACTCTTCGTTCTCCTATACAAGCCACCGCAGTCATGTCACAGTTTTATTGATAATTTTACCGAGTTGCTTTCAGTTGTATGCACAGATTTTGATAGTTTGGTTATTACAGGTGATTTTAATATTCATGTGGATAATGTTGATGACAGAAATGCAAATGAGCTGAGTTCTGTACTTGAATCCTTTGATCTCACTCAGCACGTAAGTGGCCCCACCCACAGCAGAGGGCACACTCTAGATCTGTTAGTTACAAAGGGGGTGATTATTTCAAATGTAAACGTGGTCGATGTTGCTCTTTCGGATCATTTCTGTGTTTTTTTTGACATGTGTTTCACTAACAAACCACCAGTGGACTCTGCAACTGTTCGAAGAAGGCGCATAAATGAAAATACAAGTGAACTATTTATGGAAATGATAAACTTTGAGAATGCATCGTATTCTACTGTAGATGAACTGTTTAACTCTGTGACCTCTAGTGTTTTGAATGTTCTGGATACCGTTGCCCCTGTGAAGGTTAAAATAGTGAAAAATAAGCAGAAGGCGCCGTGGGCTAAAGCAGACTCGGTCAGGGCACAAAAGAGAAAGTGCCGGAGGGCCGAGCGGAAGTGGCGCAAGTCCAACCTCCAGGTAGATTACGAGATCTTCAAAGATAAGTTGTGCGAGTTTAACCGGGTGCTACGTAGTACGAGAGAAAGGTATTTTTCTGAAATGATTGGAGGCTGCAGCAACAATCTGCGTGTTCTGTTCTCAACAGTTAATAGATTAACAAACCCCCCTGTTCAAATGCCATTAGAGCTTACTTCCAAACGTAAATGCAATGAGTTTGCTAATTTTTTCAATGACAAGGTTCAAGGCATCAAAAACGCCATTGTCTCCAATCCACAGATAACCATCCAACAGCCAGAAAGGCTCTCTGAGCTAACTCACTTTGCACCTGTAAATGATAAAACTGTCCAAGAGATAATCTCCAGTTTGAGCTCCTCCACATGCAGCTTGGATGTACTACCCACTAGATTTCTGAAGTCTGTTCTGAGCAGTCTGTTACCTTCACTCACACAGATAGTAAACATGTCCCTTCATTCTGGAATATTCCCAAAGGCCCTGAAAACTGCAGTCATCAGGCCCCTGCTAAAAAAGAGCAGTCTCGATGCTACGGTACTTAACAACTATCGTCCCATCTCAAATCTGCCATTTATGGGGAAAGTCCTTGAGAAAGTTGTCTACCTACAGCTTACTAGATTTCTTTTAATCAACAACTCATTTGATATGTTTCAGTCCGGCTTTAGACCCCACCACAGCACTGAGACTACTCTCGTCAAGGTTACAAATGATATCCGGCTGAACACTGACGCAGGCAAAGTCTCAATCCTAATCCTGTTAGATCTAAGTGCTGCCTTTGACACTGTCGACCATGAGATCCTCTTACAGAGACTAGAGGACTGGGTTGGCGTCGCTGGCACCGCCCTAAGTTGGTTTAGGTCTTACCTTGAAGACAGGAAGTACTTTGTGGAGATTGGAAACTGTGTCTCAGATCATATGGCCCTGACCTGTGGAGTCCCACAGGGGTCGATCCTGGGACCTCTTCTGTTCAATCTCTACATGCTGCCGTTAGGTCAGTTAATACGCAGAAACAAAGTTTCCTATCATAACTATGCAGACGACACTCAGATCTATGTCTCACTGACTGCAGGAGAACATGGACCAGTGGACTCACTCCTTCACTGTATCCAACAGATTAGTGAGTGGATGCAAAACAACTTCCTTCAGCTAAACGCAGACAAAACTGAAATAATTGTCTTTGGTCCCCAGAAACAAAGAGAGAGCGTCATCTGTCACCTACAGTCTCTCTCCCTAAAACCTTCAAACAAGGTCAGAAATCTAGGGGTAATACTGGACTCAGACTTAAATCTTAATAGCCACATCAAATCAGTAACATCAGCAGCTTTTTACCATCTAAAAAACATTGCCAGGATCAAAAACATAGTGTCTAAAGCAGACCTGGAGATTCTTATCCATGCATTTGTCTCCAGTAGGTTAGACTACCGCAATTGCCTGCTCACAGGTCTGTCCAAACAGGCTGTAAAACAGCTGCAGTACATTCAAAATGCAGCAGCTCGAGTCCTGACTAGAACCAGGAAGTACGACCACATTAGTCCTGTTCTCAGGTCTCTGCACTGGCTTCCTGTGGCTCAGAGAATAGACTTTAAAACAGCTCTGCTTGTGTACAAGTCTCTCCATAGCCTCGCACCAAAATATATTAGTTACATGTTAGTCCCATATGAACCAGCCCGGACTCTGAGGAGCACAAGGACTGGACTCCTGTTAGTGTCCAGAGTCAGAACTAAACATGGGGAGGCTGCTTTTCAGATTCATGCTACTAAAATCTGGAACAGTCTTCCTGAAGATGTGAGACAGGCCTCCTCTCTGACAATGTTTAAAACCAGGTTAAAGACAGTTCTGTTTAACTGTGCATACAACTGAGGGATTTTATATTTTTATCTTTCTTTTTAATGTTCTGTGATAATTTATGATTTTAATGCTTTCTTGTTTTGTTCAGCACTTTGAATTGCCTTGTGTATGAATTGTGCTATATAAATAAACTTGCCTTGCCTTGCCTTGCCTTGCTAACCTTAAGTATTCTTTGAGATCGTAATCACAAGTTCACTGTGTCATCCATCCACCTTCAGCTCTGCCAATATAGACATAATGTTAATCGTTCATCTGGAATTCAGTCATTGACTTTATTTGTACGTACTTTACTGGGGTGGTTTTGGATTAGATTAGATATTCTTTAATTATTGGTGCTACTGTAGCTGGTGAGATGGTAAACAGGTGTCATTCAGCCAACTTCAGCTCTGTTATAGATCATTTAAAAGCTCAGAACAGCCCGATACCAGTCAAGACAGTTTTTCAGATTGTGATTTCGGCCCCTGGACTAGTCTGGTGAACTGAAGTGGCCCTCTTACCAATATCTTTGGACACCCCTGGTCTAAGGACAGTCAATAGACATTTGACATTTAACAACATTTATGGACATCGACTGTATTAACATCTATGGAAATTGTTCATCCGCCCCTTATAGACCAAAAGCTATGTTAGATTAGTCTTAGACATTTGACTGGGACCAACTATGGGAACAGAGATGTCAAACATGTCAAACATGTCAAAGAACAACAAAAAGAAGAACAAAAATACAACAATGCTAATTAGCGTGCAGTCAAGAAGAGCATAATATGTACAGTATACGGCAAAAGTACTACCCAGATGTTCTATAGTATTGTGCTAATCAAGGATGAAATGTGTTTTTTATCTGTGTGTGAACTATTGTCTGATCTGTGCTTGCGAATCAACAATTTTGTGAAAGCCTCCGAGATAACTGCGGGTGTGTTTTAGAGCTATACAGAAATACATTGAATTTAATCACACACTTAAACTTTTCACTTTTTCTTGTTTTTCTACCAGAACAAAGTCGTGACTGTGGACAACCTGAAGGTCAAACTGCAGGTCAGTGTTCCGTATTCTCATCACATCCATGCTCCGGTTTCCTCCAGGTGCTCCGGTTTCCCCTACTCACTGTTAGATGAAGTTGTGTTGAAGTTTTGGTTCTTCAGGAGGAGAATAGTGTGTAACAGAGTTGTGTGTCTGGTGCAGATCTGGGACACTGCGGGACAGGAGCGCTTCCGGAGCGTCACACATGCGTACTACAGAGACGCACACGGTGAGAACACACACACAACGAAACCTCCAAGACGCACACAACATGCACACAACGCAGACACAACTAAACCTCAAACACACACACAAGCTAAACCTCCAACACACACAGCAGAACCTCCAACACACACAACTAAACCTCCAAGACCCACACAACACACACACAACTTAACCTCCAACACTCACACAACTAAACCTCCAACGCACACACAACTAAACCTCCAACACACACAGCAAAACCTCCAACACACACACACACAACTAAACCTCTGACACATACAGCAGAACTTCCAACATACACATAACACACACAACTAAACCTACAATACGCACACACAATACGCACAAAATACGCACAACGAAACCTGCAAGACGCACACAACACACAGACAACACACACAGCTAAACCTTCAAAACACACACAACACGCACACAACTAGACCTACAACACACACACAACTAAGCTTTCAATACACACAACACACGCACACAACATGAACACCACTAAACCTCAAACACACACAAAATGCACAACATATAACTAAACTTTAAATACACACAAAACACACGCACAACATAGACAACAAACAGAACAAACACAACACACACAAAATACGCACAACACACACACAACACACAATGATGAGTTTCCCTGTGTCCAACAGCTCTGCTCCTGCTCTATGACATCACCAGCAAATCCTCCTTCGACAACATCAGAGTGAGTCGCAGTCACTATGGTTACACTGTCAGACTGTAGTAAGAGTACTGTTACACTGTCAGACTGTAGTAAGAGTACTGTTACACTGTCAGACTGTAGTAAGAGTACTGTCAGACTGTAGTAAGAGTACCATTACACTGTCAGACTGTACTAAGAGTACTGTTACACTGTCAGACTGTAGTAAGAGTACTGTTAGACTGTCAGACTGTAGTAAGAGTACTGTTTAACTGTCAGACTGTAGAACGAGTACTGTTAGACTGTCACACTGTCAGACTGTAGTAAGAGTACTGTCAGACTGTAGTAAGAGTACTGTTAGACTGTCAGACTGTAGTAAGTGTAATTTTACACTGTCAGACTGTAGTAAGAGTACTGTTACACTGTCAGACTGTAGTAAGAGTACTGTCAGACTGTACTAAGAGTACCATTACACTATCAGACTGTACTAAGAGTACTGTTACACTGTCAGACTGTAGTAAGAGTACTGTTACACTGTCAGACTGTAGTAAGAGTACTGTTTAACTGTCAGACTGTAGTAAGTGTATTGTTACACTGTCAGACTGTAGAAAGAGTACTGTTAGACTGTCACACTTTCAGACTGTAGTAAGAGTACTGTCAGACTGTCAGACTGTAGTAAGTGTATTGTTACACTGTCAGACTGTAGTAAGAGTACTGTTAGACTGTCAAACTGTAGTAAGAGAACTATTAGACTTTCAGACTGTAGTAAGAGTACTGTTAGACTGTCAGACTGTAGTAAGAGTACTGTCACACTGTCAGACTGTAGTAAGAGTACTGTCAGACTGTAGTAAGAGTACTGTCAGACTGTAGTAAGAGTACTGTTAGACTGTCAGACTGTAGTAAGAGTATTGTTACACTGTTAGACTGTAGCAAGAGTACTGTTAGACTGTCAGACTGTAGTAAGAGTACTGTTAGACTGTAAGACTGTAGTAAGAGTACTGTTAGACTGTCAGACTGTAGTAAGAGTACTGTTACACTGTCAGACTGTAGTAAGAGTACTGTCACATTGTTAGACTGTACTAAGAGTACTGTCACACTGTCAGACTATAGTAAGAGTACTGTTACACTGTCAGACTGTAGTAAGAGTACTGTCACACTGTTAGACTGTACTAAGAGTACTGTCACACTGTCAGACTGTAGTAAGAGTACCATTACACTGTTAAATATAGGACTAACACATCTTGTCTGGTCGGTGTTTCAGGCTTGGCTCACAGAGATCCACGAGTACGCACAGAGCGACGTCGTCATCATGTTGCTAGGTAACAAGGTGAGTGGGAAGCAGGAAGTCCTAGAGCAGTAACTTTTACACACAACACTGCACAGGATAAAGCCCTGTGTGTGACCGCCCCCTGCTGGCGTCTATGGCCTGGAACAGCCTTACACCAGTGTACCAGAGGGACTGGGACCACTGGGGACACTGATCATGGGGCCTATGGAATAATAGTTATAATAATAATAATAATAATAATAATAATAATAATAATAATAATAATAACAGAATAATGCTTGTTTTTATCCATGTTTTAGATCCAAAATAGATGGCCAAGCCACCTCAACTGGCAGTGTCTCTACTCCGAGCTCTGTAGTTATTCTAGTTGCCAAGAGCATTCTCTGTATAATCCTGGTTCAGGTCTGGATTAGTTTTGGTGTCTATCATCTCAATATTTATGTGTAATATGTTAATGCCTAGTATGTTTCAAGTGCTGCTCTAAGTAAACACTAGAGGGCAGTGTAGCGCTGGTCAGTACAGTTACAACCAAGAAAAGACTTTCAACTGTGTTGAGTCAAAAACACAGACTTTTCTCTCTTAGAGATAGTTTCGATCCCAAACTTTCTGTTAATGTTAAATAACGAGAAGATCCGTCTGCTCCGATGTTCATGTATTTTGCACAAACACAAACATGTGATAAATAAACCCCTCAGTGCTTTACCCGGACTCGACCTCATGAGCCCCTCGGATAAATTTAGTTTGAGACCTTTGCTTTAGACTGTTCATATCAGGGATGTCAAACTCAGAAAATGAATTATCTTGGCCCCCGGGATGATATTTGATTAGTATTAGAACCAGCCGCACAGGGTCATAAGAAAATATTGGATTCATATTCAGGACGTGTGTTTTCACTTGAAATTTCTGACAGAGCCAAAGAAAAGCATTAAATTATTCATTTAATCATTAAATAAAACACGGTACACTGTGTTAAGAGTTGGTTCAATAGGTTTTAAGCAATCATTTGAATATGTTTTAATTAACAGTGAACCATTCTCGCCCTCGGCTTGAAGCAAATTAGTTTTTTTGGCCTCTGATTTAACTTTGACATCCCTAGTTTAGAAGAATGGCAACATGCATGCATTACTTCAAATGGATCTCAAAGTTGCAAAGTTTAAAACCACCACTTTCCAAATAAAATGGCATTTTTGTCGAACGTGAAGATTGAATTCGAGTGTGTCTAATCAAACACTTCTGTAATGTTTTGGTGATGTCTTTTCTTTTGGTGCTCAGACGGACATGGCGGGAGAGCGGGCCATCCGGAGAGAAGAGGGCGAGAGGCTGGCCAGAGTAAGTTGTGCATACGGCAGAAAGAACTAAAGACCTACTGCTTCACTCTGACACAGTTCCTGGTTTGTGTGCAGGAGTACTCTGTCCCGTTCATGGAGACCAGCGCCAAGACTGGGGTCAACGTGGAGCTGGCCTTTACTGCTGTGGCCAAGTCAGTCCAACTCACCTCCTGTGTGTTTGTTATCAATATGTTCAATATCGGACTCATATAGATAGATAGATACTTTATTGATCCCTGTAGGAGAAATTCAGGTGTCCAGTAGCAGCAAAAACACATCCATCCACACAAACAAAACAAATAAATGATCATTCTACATAATTATGTTACAGTCGTCTTGTGAAGTCTGAAACAAAGTGGGTGGACACTGCTGGATGGTTTTATTTACATTCAAAGTACCTATTCTAATAAATAGGTACTTTGAGACTTGGGTGGCAGATCTGATTACCACCCCTCCGACCCAGAAATAATGAATAATGAAGGGGAAGAAAATAATATGACATGACAGTTGCAATAGAGTAAAGTAAATAAATGTGGTAGTGTGATATAGTATTTATTTAAAACTCCTGTACATCAAAAGACAAAAAACTATAAACAGGATACAAAAATTTCACAGTTTGAGGTTGGATGAAGCAGACCCTACAATTAAACACAAAGCACACACACGCATGTACACACACATTTTCTCTCTCTCTCACACACACACACACACACACACACAGGCACAATAAATAATGAATCAATTAAACAACCGCACTGTGCCAGAGTGGGGGTTTGCATGTTCTCCACATACCTCATAGGCTTCTTCTATTTTCTCTGTCGCTAAAACATGTATAGTATTTATATTATGTAAGCATCATGGTAGCATAGTTGACTAGGAACAGCCACACCCCCCTCTAGTGGTGGAGGTGGAAGTGGAGGTTCTTATTTTTTCCCAGTGAGTAACCACCTTCTATCGGACTCTCTACAGGGACCTGAAGAGCAGAGCCATCCAGCATCCCACTGAGCCCAAGTTTAAGATCCACGAATACATCGAAGCACAGAAGGAGAAGTCCAGCTGCTGTAGCTTCTTCTGACCGGGTCCGACTGAGGCCTGGACGGAACTCATACAGACGGGAACCATGAAGGGACTCATACAGACAGGAACCATGAAGGGACTCATACAGACGGGAACCATGAAGGGACTCATACAGACGGGAACCATGAAGGGACTCATACAGACGGGAACCATGAAGGGACTCATACAGACGGGAACCATGAAGGGACTCATACAGACGGGATCCATGAAGGGACTCATACAGACGGGAACCATGAAGGAACTCTTACAGACGGGAACCATGAAGGGACTGTCACAAAGACAGAGGAACGAGCCATAATTTCTAACATGTCAAGAGAACCACGGAACCTTCTTCTAACACGCTAACAACCATGAACCATCTTCTAACACGCTGAGAACCATGAATCATCGTCTAACACGCTGAGAACCATGAACCATCTTCTAACACGCTGAGAATCATGTGACCATCTTCTAACACGCTGAGAACCATGAACCATCTTCTAACACGCTAAGAACCATGAACCATCTTCTAACACGCTGAGAACCATGAACCATCGTCTAACACGCTGAGAACCATGTGACCATCTTCTAACACGCTGAGAACCATGGAACCATCTTCTAACACACTGAGAACCATGAACCATCTTCTAACACGCTGAGAACCATGGAACCATCTTCTAACACACTGAGAACCATGGAACCATCTTCTAACACACTGAGAACCATGAACAATCTTCTAACACTCTGAGAACCATGAACCATCTTCTAACACGCTCAGAACCATGAACCATCTTCTAACACTCTGAGAACCATGAACCATCTTCTAACACGCTGAGAACCATGGAACCATCTTCTAACACTCTGAGAACCATGAACCATCTTCTAACACGCTAAGAACCATGAACCATCTTCTAACACTCTGAGAACCATGAACCATCTTCTAACACACTGAGAACCATGGAACCATTTTCTAACACGCTGAGAACCATGAACCATCTTCTAACACTCTGAGAACCATGAACCATCTTCTAACACACTGAGAACCATGGAACCATCTTCTAACACGCTGAGAACCATGGAACCGTCTTCTAACACACTGAGAACCATGAACCATCTTCTAACACTCTGAGAACCATGAACCATCTTCTAACACGCTGAGAACCATGAACCATCTTCTAACACGCTGAGAACCATGGACCATCTTCTAACACGCTGTGAACCATGGAACCATCGTCTAACACGCTGAGAACCATGGAACCATTGTCTAACACGCTGAGAACCATGGAACCATCTTCTAACACGCTGAGAACCATGAACCATCTTCTAACACGCTGAGAACCATGGACCATCTTCTAACACGCTGAGAACCATGAACCATCGTCTAACACGCTGAGAACCATGAACCATTGTCTAAACCATGGAACCATTGTCTAACACGCTGAGAACCATGAACCATTGTCTAACACGCTGAGAATCATGAACCATCGTCTAACACGCTGAGAACCATGAACCATCGTCTAACACGCTGAGAACCATGGAACCATCTTCTAACACGCTGAGAACCATGAACCATCGTCTAAACCATGGAATCAGCGTCTAAGACGCTGAGAACCATGGAACCATCTTCTAACACGCTGAGAATCATGAACCATCGTCTAACACGCTGAGAACCATGGAACCATCGTCTAACACGCTGAGAACCATGGAACCATCTTCTAACACGCTGAGAACCATGAACCATTGTCTAACACGCTGAGAACCATGAACCATGGTCTAAACCATGGAACCAGCGTCTAAGACGCTGAGAACCATGGAACCATTGTCTAACACGCTGAGAACCATGGAACCATTGTCTAACACTCTGAGAACCATGAACCATCGTCTAACACTCTGAGAACCATGAACCATCGTCTAACACGATGAGAACCATGAACCATCGTCTAACACGCTGAGAACCATGGAACTATCTTCTAACACGCTGAGAACCATGAACAATCTTCTAACACGCTGAGAACCATGAACCATCTTCTAACACGCTGAGAACCATGAACCATCGTCTAACACGCTGAGAATCATGAACCTTCTTCTAACACGCTGAGAACCATGGAACCATCGTCTAACACGCTGAGAACCATGGAACCATCTTCTAACACGCTGAGAACCATGGACCATCGTCTAACACGCTGAGAACCATGAACCGTCGTCCAAACCATGGAACCAGCGTCTAAGACGCTGAGAACCATGGAACCATCTTCTAACACGCTGAGAATCATGAACCATCGTCTAACACTCTGAGAACCATGAACCATCGTCTAACACGCTGAGAACCATGAACCATCTTCTAACACGCTGAGAACCATGTGACCATCTTCTAACACGCTGAGAACCATGAACCATCTTCTAACACGCTAAGAACCATGAACCATCTTCTAACACGCTGAGAACCATGAACCATCTTCTAACACGCTGAGAACCATGAACCATCTTCTAACACGCTGAGAACCATGAACCATCTTCTAACACGCTGAGAACCATGAACCATCTTTTTAACACGCTGAGAACCATGAACCATCTTCTAACACGCTGAGAACCATGAACCATCTTCTAACACGCTGAGATCCATGAACCATCTTCTAACACGCTGAGAACCATGAACCATCTTCTAACACGCTGAGAACCATGGACCATCTTCTAACCTGTTGAGAACCATGTAACCATCTTCTAACACGCTGAGAACCATGTGACCATCTTCTAACACGCTGAGAACCATGTGACCATCTTCTAACACGCTGAGAACCATGAACCATCTTCTAACACGCTGAGAACCATGTGACCATCTTCTATCACGCTGAGAACCATCTTCTAACACGCTGAGAACCATGGAACCAGGATCCAGAGAACTTGGATCTGGAACTGAGATGCACTAAGGATTTTTCCGATCCAGCTTTTTCATTCTGATCTCGATTCTTACGCTTTCAATATTTGCTGATAACCAATATGATCCGATACCAGTGTCGTTTTTTAACAGTTAGAGAAACTCTGTGTACGAGTCGAATCTATTATCTCACCAGACCAGTAAATAGTCTTCGGTTTAAAGCAGGGGAGCCAAACTGGTCCTCAAAGGGCCAGTGTGGCTGCAGGTTTTCATTCCAACCAAGCAGGAGCAGACCAGACTCCACCCATTTCCTCAAGTGAGTCCAGTCTGGAACCAGTTTGACCCCCCGGGTTTACAGGCTCTAATAAAAAGTGCTGTTTACACAAAGACGCTGCAGTAAAACGCTAGAGTTGGTATAGAGTTGGTTTCTCAACACAGGCGTTGAGAAACACTACTGGCCGAACGCTAGAACTACATCGTTTTCCGTCGTAGTTTAGACCCTGTGCACCTTGCAGTCAATTCAGTCCGTCTAATTTGAGGGAATGCTTTGTGCTGTAAAATTCCAATCAGAAATAATTTTGTCTATCAATAATTATAGCCTGGTTTTGTCCTGGGGCCTCAGAGGTGTGGTTTCATTATGGTTTTTATCAAACAGTAGAAGTAGAACATTGATTTAATGTAATTTCAAAACGTTCTACGAGTCATTATTTCTTGATAACGAACCTCTGAAACCCAAAATGACCGCTGTTGACGCAATTTCTGCTTGTAATTCACGTGATATATAAATAAATATATATATATATATATATATATATATATATTATATATATATATATATATATATATATATATATATATATATATATATATATATATATATATATATATATATAGGAAAAAGGTCCAAGGGACATGGTTTTGACCCCTCTCAGGTCTTCACCAGGTCCTTTTCGCCTCTCTCTTCCTTTCGATCTGTTTCTGAGTTGCGTGGCTGCAGTCTGAGCAGCCCACTTACTCCAGGCCTAAGAGTCCCTCCAGCTCTTCAGATGGAATGACTAAAATTAGAAGTTGTTTATTTGATCATATTAACATTTCAACTATAAGGTATTTTCAGATACATGAATAGAGAGAATAATAAGGATATGATAACATAGTAATATGACGATAGTTCTTTTTGACTTGTTAAAGCAGCAATATGTAAGATTTTCATGTCAAGTTATCATTAAAAGGCCCTAATCTGTCAAAAGGCATTAATAAATCATGGTCTTTTACAATGTTATCTGATAACAGTCGTTCAGCCGAGATATGCAAATTTCAAAACTATTTTTTATTTTGATGTCCCGCCGTTCGTTATCCATAGCCAGAATTCACCGTGTCGAGCTAACCTCACTGGTAAAGTACCATGTGGCCGCAGAACTAATCAAGGTCTCGTTATGATTCTAAAATCATTCCTGACAAAAAAAGGAATAAAACAAAGATTTCTATCGGGACCTTTGTGAAAAAGGTGTTGGTTATAGATTCAGCTATTCAGCTGTTATGGTCCCAGCTGGATTCGTCTGCATATCTGGCAACCTGAGTCAAGGAGAGTGGCAGAGGTTGCAGTACCACTTTTGGCCACATTTTTACATATTGCTCCTTTAACTGTTTGACCCTGTCGGTTGTGCTGCTTTTGAATTTACATTATTATCTCTGCAATCTTGAGGAAAAGTCTTGTATTGCTTGCCTTATCAGATCTTCTAAGCTGGACTGAGATCTGCCTCTGGTTTGATGGACACGTGAGGGGACGTGTATTAAAGCACATATTGTATTTTTCTGATATATGTAGATTATATCGCTCTGCATGTTCTGATTTGCATGCTGATGATGTGCAGTTGTATTCTTGTAATGTTATTTTTCTCCTTCATGTGGTGAGACACTACAGGCTGCTCTCGCTATTCCTGATGAGACATGATGGAGAGCCATTGTTGGGGACATAGACTGTATATAAGGAGAAGTTGATTTCAACATAAGCTAGCTGGAGGTAATGTCCTTATATGGGCAATTGTTCCCACGGCATTAGCTTTGCACCATATCATAGGCAGACGTGTTGCTAAGATGGTTGCAATGGCAATGGCTGGAGTTTTGACCGGCCAGTCCTTATAGATCATGGCTGGATATACAAAGACAAAAAAAATCCAAATCTCTATGATCTGGAGCACTAAAGCATGGACAAATACTGAGCTAGAGGGGTTTACTTTTACATGTACATCAATGGGAGCCAGAGTGAGTAGATGCAAAACATTGTCCAAGTCAAATTTGGCAAAATCTATCTTATATTGAGCACATTTTGACTGTCTTTGCCAATAGGTCAAGGAAAATTATTTGTTTTTAAAAAGATACAAGAAATGTCTCCCTTGGAATGAGAAAATAAAGCAACAGTTCATGAAGTAAGACTACATTTCTTTGTCCCATTGGAGAATCTTTTTTTAACACAGAATGGTCAGAATATCATGTACTCAGATCAAGATAGAAACCAGACGATTTGAGCATTTATTAGCTCATATTTTATCATTTTTTCCCTTACCTTTTGGGCTTCATTGAGATTGGGGGTTTGCACTCTCCATCAATATACAGTCTATGATTGGGGAAAGAAAATTGGAACACACAGACCGGGAATACGCACTCAAATGCAACAGTTTATTAATCAATTGCAGCATTTCTTACTATGATATTATGTTATTATGCAGATGAGCATAGAAGTGTGTTTTCAGGATACTGTATTTTGGACTAACTCAGCAGGCTGAGTCTCTTTTTAGTGGCCCCTGAAATGATTTTGAATTATTACTATTATTAACTTGCTTCATTTATAGTAAAGGTCCTGAATTTCTCCTACGGGGATCGATAAAGTATCTATCTATCTAACTATCTAAAGGGCTACTATGGCATGTTATACCTAACTTTCTCAAGATAACAACTACATCATTTAAATTTGAAGCCAAAACGTATTAGAAGTGACATATTTGTTCCAAAGGAAATCTACCAGAAAAAAATCAAACTTGTGTCTAAGGAAAGTTATTTGTTATAATGTATAAAATAATTATAACAAAAGAAAACCCCAGAGCAAAATGAGTTTGACAAAATACAAATACAAATACAATACAAAACGAAATACAATTACTATTACCATAGTCACCAGCTTTCCAGTTCACTGAAATAATGCAGGGCTGGGTGATCCAATTTAATTTTACTAATTCAACCTTTTATCTTTAGTGTTGGAACTATTAAATCAATGTTATTATGAAACAAACATTTAAAATGAATAAAAACAAACTCAATTTTATGTAACACACTCCAGTCTCCATCTCCAGTGTTCTCAGACCGCCAACAGCAGAGATGAAGTCCTGTGGTCCCCAAACGGTTTCTTGTGTGATCAAAAATATAAAACTTTCTTAAACCTTTCCAAATGGAGTTTTTTCCCCCCTATTCCCCTGCAGTGTTTCACCTAAATACAAAGTTTACATGGCTCAGGGCAGTCCCATACGCAAGTGCACTCTGAATTATACAGTATAATTATCTTCCTGTAGTATTTTGTGTGGAAGCATATATTTTATCGTATGCATAAATTGCCGTTTTGTCTCATGTTGTTGCCATAAAGTGGGATTAATAGGTGTCCCATTGAATAGTTGATGTCATTACAACAGCTTTTCAATTTGATTTGCTCTAATATGCACTTTTTCATAAGACTCAGGTCTGAAGGAATATTCCTGTTTGTGTTTATGTTCTGTCCATGTGCTGCTGTTTCTGGGTGTGTTATAATAAAGGATTTGAATGGAAACGACTCAGTGTCTTTGCAGAGCCAGAAAAGAAAGGAGTGAAAATTAACTTCCAAATGCAGCAGTCAAAAGCACATAACCAACTGCAAAGGTCACATGTGAGGCCCTTCTGTTTTAGAGCCAGAAATTGAATATATAGTTGTGGTTTGAAAGTTTAGGAAAGAAAGCTTCTTAAAGAAAGCTTTAAGAAATTATTCAACATTTAAGATCATTTTGACAGGACAAATTATAGGCGTAGTTTCGTCTGTTAAAGGTATTGTCTGGAACTCTAAATGAATCACAACATTTAAGAATGTTGTTAAATTGGCCTCCTTGCCTTGACAGTAGCTCAGTTGACCACAGTTCACCACAAGATTTTCATCATCAACTGCACTGTCTGCTGTCGTTGTGTCCTTGCCGAGACACTTAACCTCTGGGAACACCAGCAACAGTGGGGTGGCTGCGGCTGTAAAGTGCCAAACTGCTGTTGTGTCCTCAGGCAAGACACTTCACCCCATTGCCTGGAATTAAGGGATTACTGGTTGCCTCGCTTCTGTCAGTGTGCCCCAGGGCAGCTGTGGCTGTAGTAGTTTACCACCACTGTGTTTGGAGTGAATGAATAATGACACATGTGAAGCATCTTTGAGTGTCCAAAAAGTGCTATATAAAACTGATGCATTGTTATATGAAAACTTAACAAAGAATTCTGAACATCCGCACTGAGTTACCAGTTTATATACTGAACCTATCCATAATCATTCATATACTGAACCTATATCCATAATCATTTATATACTGAACCTATATCCATAATCATTTATCTACTGAACCTATATCCATAATCAGATCCTCTGTTGATGTGTCCTATAATGTTCAATTAATGATAATAGCTACTTTCGGGTTTACCGCCATCACCTTTTTTGTGCATTAAAACATTATTTTTGTCATGAAAACATTAACAAATAATTCTGAAAACCTGTGTGTTAATAATGTATATGGTACAGTAATGTGTTCTCCATTTAACATTTAAATGTGTTGATTGTTACGGAAACATAGGCGTAAACCAATCAGAAGGAAGGGGGAGGGAGCTTGTATCGTTTTTTTCAAATCAAGTACTTCTCTCTCTTTTTTCTGACAAACTCCAGACAATCACTTTAATATTTACAATCTATGGTTATTTATTTTTAATGTCATGTTTACAATTTATACCTTGCCATGAGTTGGAAACCCAAGATGGCCGCCAGTGTTACCACCCCAGCGCGCTCTCTAACCCACACGCGCCCCCACGCTCACACATAACCCTCCTCCGGTCCCGCACAGACCCCAGTCTTGCGGAAGTGAGCGGCCGTGCAACAGGTGCCAGCAGGCGGCCAAACAAACTCTCCTCCCCGGGAGCACGAACCAGAGCCAGAGGAGCAGACAAAAAGTCAAGTTCTAGTCAGGACCATGTCGAACCTGAGACCGAGGCGCTGCCTGGTGGAGAAGGGCCCGGACGGCTACGGCTTCCACCTGCACGGAGAGAAGGGGAAGAGCGGCCAGTTCATCCGACTGGTGGAGCCTGGAACTCCTGCCGAGGAAGCGGGGCTCAGAGCGGGGGACAGGCTGGCGTTTGTGAACGGGGACAGCGTGGAGGGGGAGAGCCACTCACAGGTACACACTCTGTTCCACTCAAGTTTGTATTAGTATTATTATTATTGATTGACTGCGGAACCTTCCGCAGTCAACCATTGGTTTTGTATTTCTTTATTCCGTCATTTTTTTTGACACGTTTCACAGCTTTCACATTTTCAACAATTTCCACAAGTTATACATCAAAACGTTCCACATGTTTGGGAGATTATTGCTATTACTTTTGGGACTTCAGCGATTTCCGGTTTTTCCGCAATCGGACAAAAATCTGCATTGAGAATTCTGCAATGCATTTTAATAGGCCCATGCATTTTAATAGGACTTCAGCTCTTTCAGACATTTCTACAGTTTCAATGATTCAACAGTTTTCAAGGATTCAACAGTTTCAAGGATTTTCAGCAGTTTCAAGATTTCAAGAGTTTCAAGGACTTCAACAGTTTCAAGGACTTCAACAGTTTCAAGGACTTCAGCAGTTTCAAGGACTTCAGCAGTTTCAAGGACTTCAGCAGTTTCAAGGACTTCAGCAGTTTCAAGGACTTCAGTGTAATCATGCAACCTAATAGGGATTTTTCCATGTAAACCAGTATAATGCAACTTAATAGGGATTTTTCCATGTAAACCAGTATAATGCAACTTAATAGGGTTTTTTCATGTAAACCAGTATAATGCAACTTAATAGGGTTTTTTTTCATGTAAACCAGTATAATGCAACTTAATGGGGATTTTTCCATGTAAACCAGTATAATGCAACTTAATGGGGATTTTTCCATGTAAACCAGTATAATGCAACTTAATAGGGGTTTTTACATGTAAACCAGTATAATGCAACTTAAAGAAGCTATACCCGATTTTTTTTCTAAGTAGTTCATAAAAATGCTTTTTACTACATACAAGTTGTATCATAATACATCATTTAATTGAAAACTTGAGGTAATTGATTCAGCTGTGTAAGAATTACAAGCAGTGAAAAGTGCTGAGTAGAGTCTGAGCGGGCCGCTCTTTCTCCTCCGCTCACAGAACAAGCAGCGAACAGCCTGCGTCCTCTAGCCTCTACAGCGCTGCTTAACACCAGGGCTTCAACTTCAAAATTCGAATATAATTCTAAAATAAAAAAATATGAACAAAATAATTGAATAAAAAAATGTGAACAAATATTAGACAACCCTTGTAATTCGAAATGTATTTAATGACTGCAAATAAAATAGTGAGCTCCCAAAGGTTTCACCGGGACGTGCTAGGCAGGTAACAGCTAAGCTAGCTAGTTGTTTCATGGTAACTTCCGGGTTTTTCGCAATCGCTTTTTGTCACTTTAAAACAGTATTTTTGTCATGAAAACGTTAACAGCAAATTCTGAAATCATCCGTGCATGTGTGTTAAGGATGTATATGTGTACCGTATTGTCCGATTGACCTTTAATGGTGTTGATTGATAGATATGTAGTTGTTTATTGAGCGTGGCTAGCTCCGCTAGCTCCATTGGCTTCTCTACACAGACGAGTGATAGTGACAGGCGCTGATAGCTTGTTGTACTTGCAGAGTAATGGCAGTATTTTACACACCTGAATTACAAACAGAGGTTGCATTGGGGCTTCGGTCATTATTGGTTTGAGAGTTCTGTTATCAAGAAAAAATGATCGGAAGAATTGCATTCAAGTCAATGGAGTGCTGCTGCTTTGAGGAGCTCTATAACAAATTATAATTAAATATTAGAATATATTCTAAGGTTTTAAATTAATACATTCGGACGCGAAACTAGCGGTATTCTTTTACTTATATATTGTGTTAGCAGTGCGTTGCTTTAGTACCATTTCATCTGTGATTGTTGCACAGCTTACAAGTTGTGCTAATGCTAATGTTAGCATACGTATCAGATCGCAAATAAAACTAGGTGGCTCTGTGTTATGAGAGCGCAGGGGAAATGAGAAGCCATTGAGCGAGTTGGGGGGCGGTGCTAAACATTCAAACATTGCAGAAACGGGTATAGCGCCTTTAATAGGGTTTTTTCCATGTAAACCAGTATAATGCAACTTAATAGGGTTTTTTCCATGTAAACCAGTACAATGCAACTTAATAGGGATTTTTCCATGTAAACCAGTATAATGCAACTTAATAGGGTTTTTTACATGTAAACCAGTATAATGCAACTTAATGGGGATTTTTCCATGTAAACCAGTATAATGCAACTTAATGGGGATTTTTCCATGTAAACCAGTATAATGCAACTTAATAGGGTTTTTTCATGTAAACCAGTATAATGCAACTTAATAGGGTTTTTTTTCATGTAAACCAGTATAATGCAACTTAATGGGGATTTTTCCATGTAAACCAGTATAATGCAACTTAATAGGGGTTTTTACATGTAAACCAGTATAATGCAACTTAATAGGGTTTTTTTCCATGTAAACCAGTATAATGCAACTTAATAGGGTTTTTTCCATGTAAACCAGTATAATGCAACTTAATAGGGTTTTTTCCATGTAAACCAGTACAATGCAACTTAATAGGGATTTTTCCATGTAAACCAGTATAATGCAACTTAATAGGGTTTTTTACATGTAAACCAGTATAATGCAACTTAATGGGGATTTTTCCATGTAAACCAGTATTATGCAACTTAATAGGGATTTTTCCATGTAAACCAGTATAATGCAACTTAATAGGGATTTTTCCTTGTAAACCAGTATAATGCAACTTAATAGGGTTTTTTTCATGTAAACCAGTATAATGCAACTTAATGGGGATTTTTCCATGTAAACCAGTATTATGCAACTTAATAGGGATTTTTCCATGTAAACCAGTATAATGCAACTTAATAGGGTTTTTACATGTAAACCAGTATAATGGAACTTAATAGGGGTTTTTACATGTAAACCAGTATAATGGAACTTAATAGGGGTTTTTACATGTAAACCAGTATAATGCAACTTAATAAGGATTTTTACATGTAAACCACTATAATGTAACCTAATAGGGGTTTTTACATGTAAACCAGTATAAAGCAACTTAATAGGGATTTGTACATGTAAACCAGTATAATGCAACCTAATAGGGATTTTTCCATGTAAACCAGTATAATGCAACTTAATAGAGATTTTTCCATGTAAACCAGTATAATGCAACTTAATAGGGATTTTTCCATGTAAACCAGTATAATGCAACCTAATAGGGATTTTTCCATGTAAACCAGTATAATGCAACCTAATAGGGATTTTTCCATGTAAACCAGTATAATGCAACCTAATAGGTTGCATTATACCACCAGACCAAGACCCAAACGAAGACTCAGACCACCACCAGATAATGACCACAGACCAGGTTTCCTTAGTTACAGGAACCAAATTGTTTCAGCGGTGAGGGGATTTTTCAGTTTCAAGGACACTTTCAATACATTCAGTAGTTTCAAGGATTTCAACTGTTTAAGAATTTAACCAGTTTCAAGGATATCAGGAGGTTCAAGGATTTCAGGAGTTTCCACACTTTCAACAGTTTCCAGGTTTAAAAAAAGTTTCAAGGATTTCAGGAGTTTCAATGTTTCAACAGTTTCAAGGATTTCAGGAGTTTAAAGGTTTCAACAATTTCAAGGACTTCAGGAGTTTCAAATATCTATCAAGTATTTTAACAGTTTCAAGGCCTTTTAAAGGATTTCAAGGATTTTTTTTAGCAGATTTCCACATTAGATCTGTTCCGCAGTCAATCGCAATGGCTTCAGCCATTGCAAGTTTCTAGTTATTATTATTATTATTTAAAGTCTTTTACGAGTGAAAATAGACACACTTTAGTTGTTTAGTTAGATTTTTCATAAAGTTTTTCATAAAGTTTAGTTGACCGGGCGACAGTAGCTCAGTTGGTAGAGCATTGGCCTTTGGGCCTGAAGGTCGTGGGTTCAAGCCCACCATAAGACCTACTTCACGACTCCCACTGATGACTGCTGTCGTTGTGTCCTTGGGCAAGACACTTAACCCCACTTTGCCTGAAGCTCCCACTGAAAGATCTCAGCTCCTGTGGACTCACCACCTGCAGGAGGATCAGTGAGGGGCTGGTGCTCTGTGTACTGGGTGGCATCTCTGACTGCCACCCCCCGACCCAGAAATGGATTAAGGGGAAGAAAATGGATGGATGGATGGATAGTTGACTGGTTGTAGATAAGATTCACCCTTTTCATATATTTAGGAGGATTTTCTACTTCTGGGGGGATTAACACTTCACTTCACTTTAAGCACAGGGACACGTAAAACATTTTAAATACATTTTTCTCCATACATTCAGACTAACAAGGTGCGCACATACAGTTTTACAGTAAAATCAATGGCAGTTATAAAAACAGGATAAAAAAGGAAGACAAAAACTGTCCCCCTCAAGCAAAAAATTCAACCCCCATTTTCTCTGTCTGTGGTCCGAGTTTAGAGTAGAAATAGCTGCAGGTACGAAGAGTGTTTATATCTATTACTCCGAACCAATATCAAGACTATTGGTCCTAATTGTCAACAGTGGCTCAGTTGGCATTGGCCTTTGCGCCGGTTCAAGCCCACCATAAAAAAAAACTTAATGAGTGACTTTCTGGCCTGGTTAATTTTGTGCTTTCGTTTTTGGCTTTTGGAGATATAAATTGATTTATTTGCTATAACACATGCATTAGTATTTGGCACGTTTACCATCAACCTGCATCTCAACCTTTAGGTAGAGGTCTATCATTAAACGACTAGGTGTCCCAAAAAAACTATTTTTTCAACAAAGAGACCCTTTTCTGTGGAAAAGTAACAACAGGGTAAAATCCGAGACACTCTGATAAAAAGTCCTTTAATGAGCGAAAGGGACCGACACGTTTCGGCCACGCAGGGCCTTCTTCAGGGCAGTGTTAAAAACAATATACTGTTTGACAGGTGTTTAAATAGACACACGACATCCCGTGGAACATCGCGTGACATGACATCGATTGGACAACGGCTCATTACAATAAGTCTGATTTTACCCTGTTGTTACTTTTCCACAGAAAAGGGTTTCTTTGTTTGAGCTATGCTATTTCTTATCCTGAAGAGCACCTGATTTTACGTACGTCTTTGACTTTGGACCCTGTAGCAATAACTCCTCCTGTTTTTGAAAAAAACTTGTTATTAGTGCTCCTACAACATTTTTTTCAAGGAGTGAACATTAAAAGGATAAGCTTAGCTCACCATCTACATTCTTCATTGTGCATCACTTTGAAACTATTTATGATATGTGCTAGATGATTAAAGAGGATTGCATCTATTCTAGACAGATAGATAGATAGATCAAGTATTGATCCCTGTTGAGGAGAAATGTAGGTGTCCAGCAGCACAAACTCATCCATACAAACAAACAAATACATGATTATAAAAGTTAGTAATAAAGTAATACAATAAATGGTAAAAGAGGAATAAAGGAATAATAGCTTTGGTAATAAAGTAATACTTACATTATCTATTCCTCTTTTACATGTTTTATAGTAGTAGTAACATGTACATTACTGTATCAGGATAAGAGGTACACAACTTTCAGAACATAATTATAACTATATAATAACATCTAACTAGTTCTAAATTGGTTCGGTTAAGAGCTCTACTGCAAGTACACAACATGTTTTCTAATCAACAAGTTTTCCTGTTGGAACAAACAACATGTAGTGAAACACAACACACTGCACTAAAGGGGAAAGTTCTTACCTACAGACACAGTATAAGTGTATATTGCTTTATATGACAAAGATTTCCTCATGTTAAAAAAATCAAGCTATTCAAAATACCACTGAACATTTGCTGCTCAAATGGATACAATTTCTAACTTTTCTTTGGATTGGGAGTAATCCTGCAGCCCTATTCTTTTATTTCATTTAAATCCCTCGCTGTTTGAAGGAGAGGTTCTGCAGGGCTTTCCTTCCTGCTGCTGTCAGACTGTACAATGAGAACTGCTGAGCCTGTAAATGTAATTCATCTGTAAATAAGTAAATACTAAAATCATGTGCAATACTGCAACTTCAGAATGTCACTGAACAAGGTCACTTTATTTACTTATTATCCTGCCCTATATGTACAGTATATAACTCTGCACTACTACATATATATGTTGACTGGTATTGAAGCATGTACAGCATCTACAGCTAGTAAAGAAACATAGGTACTACTTATTTTGTATATTTTTGTGTGCTCCCAGACAGTGTCCTGTATGTGCGCTGCAACATCGAAATTTCCCCACTGTGGGACGAATAAAGGATCTCTTATCTTATCTTAAATATAATCTGTTATTTTGTGCAATACTGGTGCTGTCATGTCCAATAATGACTCCCTTCACTGACACTTTATCTTAGGCCATTCTGTCGTTGTGTAGTTGGTTATATGTTTATGCTTTAGTAAAAGAAACTTGTATTCTAACCTGTCTTAGATTCCTGTCTAAGTCTGGACAGGTTTGAATTCTCACTGAAACAAACATGTGTAGGATTGATATTAACACCACCAACCTGTCCCAACACATTTTGACATGTTGCCTTGTTGTGCTACGTATTTTCAAAGTATATTTTTGACAAATGTTTTGACAAAATGTTCCAAAGCGTTGTCTTTCATGTTGTGCACTTACTCTCGCTCACGAGTGAGACGTTAGTGAATCAGCAGCATCTTGTCAGATCTTGTTTGTTTGAAGATGTTTCCCAAATAAATAAAAAAGTCCCAATAATCACCTTCTAGTTTAACATAACATACCATATCCATGTGCTGTGATCATCACATGGATATACTTGTAGTAAAGAGCCCTGAGAGCCCTTAACTTATCCATCACTCCCTTAGTTTAGACATATTTTTCTACTGATTTATTTGGCAGTGATTAGTTTATTTAAAATTGTATTATGACTAAGAGGTTTGAGAACCACTGCCATAACATTTTAATTTTGTCCATTTCAGTTAAAGGCCTGTGCTGAAAGTATAATGTACTGATTTTGATGTGACTTAATCCTATTACAATAAACATTGAGCCCTAAAATAGATAGTTATCCATCAGCTATTGAAGGTTAAGTTGGTAAATTATGACCAGCCTACCCTCTAGAAAAAGTCATCACTTGTGCAAAACAGCTTTGTAACCGGGACATTACAATGGGCCTGCCCTGTGCACAGGTGGTGGCCCGGATCCGAGCCTCATCCGGGCGTCTGGAGCTCATCGTGGTGGATCAGGAGACTCTGGAGCTGCTGAGGAGACACGGGCTTAGCTGTAAGGAGGAGTATGTGACTGAGGGCATCCCAGTCCCTGGGGACAGTGCCCCAGAGGAGAGACCTGAGGACAGCCCTGCAGCCAGTTCTCACAGCAGCCGCAGGGGGTCTGAGGCCGGATCACTGCAGAATGGACGGAGGGGCAGTGCGGGCTCCAAGGTGAGAAGCCTCTGAAAATACTTAGTCATATGTAGTCTCAAGGTGTTGACATCTGACACATGGAATCTATGACTTTGTAAACTTTCAAGCGCAGGTGTAGTTTGAGTATCTTCATCGCCTAATGAGCATTTGTGTTTCTGCCTGATATTACCGTGGATCATGGAGCTCAAACAATGTTGTAACATTTAAACTAGCCGCAGCTTCTGCTGTCCCAGTACAGTCTATGGAGAAGTACATACAGTACAGGTGCATGTGTTTGTGCTCATGGGCTTTGTGGCAAAATGCACTTCTGTTATTGAACTGCCGCTCTGCACTAGGCGTGCCGGTGGCCGGCCGAGTGCGTTTGACAGCACTAATATTTTTATTTTTTATTTAGACTTTAGTAAGGACTCACATGCAAGCACAAGATCCATGGCTAAGAAAAATGAAAGAAAAGTTTAAAAAAGAGCAGCGTTAAAAGCACACAATAATCACATATATATGCACATATTTACAGCAAGTCACACATACAAAGATGCACGACAGTGACTCCAAAGTTTAGAAGTGAACCTGACTGAGCTAATGTAAGTGCAAACCAGAGACTGTACAAAAGCATTAGGCACCCTCACCACTCTACAAATACATGATACAAAGTAAAACACTATTTTGTATCAAGTGTCTTAGGCTGGTCTACTGCGCTCTGGCTTCATACAGTAGTCGTTAGCCTGTTAGCCTGTTAGCAGCAGAGGCAGTGAGACCCTTCCACCTGTTGCGGCCTGGTCTCTTCAGTCCGAATGTGTCTCAGGCTGGTCGGACTTATAGACTGTATTTATTAACGGACGTAGTCACGCCTATGTTCGCCGTTCTAACTAATGGGCCAAAGATTGGGCTGTACTGGAGTGATTCAAAAGGGCCGCGGGGGCTGGAAAATGTGAAAAAACGCATCTGCGCATGCGTCAGCCGGCATGAGCCCCATTCATTTAAATGAGTGACTTCAAAAATTCACAACGACTAAACAGGACTGGTCCAAAAAAAATTCACTCCCCTCAGCATTGACACACATGTGGAACAGAGCTTTGGGCCAAGAGCCAACTTTTGGACCATCCTGTAAAGACGTTTTCTAGAGGTAAGCAGATGCTATATGTTAGCATTGGCTAATTCAAATTCCGGGTCCACCCCCATCGGCCGAAGTGGCCACTTTTGAGCCGTGACCCGCCCCCGTCGGACCACATGCCAGCACTCCGGCACTACAGCGGGAAAAGCCTCTGGCGCATTTTCATATGTCACAAAATGATGTCTGAGAATTTTAACCAAGCGGTTTTAAGTCTGAAAAAATGATTATTTGTTTGCGGCGCGGTATTTGGCCGTCTCGCTACTCGGCAAGAAAGTCCTGGGTTTGAATCACATTCGGAACAAGTCTTTTCTGAGTCAAGATTGCATGTTCTCCCGTGTCTGCATAGGTTTGCTCCGTGAGGATGGAGATGCTCATTTTCATGTTATTTATCTGAGGCTATTTTTTCCAAAAATAACCAAAAATTGTATTTTATATTATTTACATTTGACAAATACAACATGACTGAGCTTCAAAGCAGAGCCAGTCCTGGCATTTTATTTTCACATATTTTTGCCAGAAGAATTTTTCTGAACTAATCTGGAGACAACAACAGTGAGAGCGAGGGGGTCAGTTTGTGTGGAGGCACATTGCAGTAGTTTGTACATTGAGAAATCCCCACAAAACAATCGCTAGAAAAGTAATCTTTTTTTTAAACTATGTTTTAACTAGATCTGACACTTATTATTCGGCACAATATTTTCTGCTGATCATTTTTGTCAACATCAATAACAAAACAGCACGTGTCATCTCATCCGTAATTATCAAATACTGGGTGGTTGAGTGGTTAGCACTCTCGCTTCTCAGAGAGAGTCATGGGTTCGAGCCCCGGTCGGAACAGGGCCTTTCTGCGTGGATTCTGCATTAAAAACATGCACAAAAGTTCTGAATGTAACGAGTGAATGGATGGTGTTGATGGGAGGCTTTGATGGTCCAGTGTGTTCTTCCGTCATCACCACGTGGAGAGATTGGAACAATATCTGAACTCCGAACATTAGAAAGCGCTTTGGGTGACATTGGTCTGTAAAATGCGCTATATAAATAAACCTTACTTACTGCAATCATGTGCAATACTGCAATTTCAGAATGTCCATTGAATGTCACTTTATCTACATATTTTATGTGCCGGATATGTATATAATTTACATTAGATCGATAGACGTTCATTCCTCCTCAGAGTGGACAGTCTGTGAGAGAGCCGCTGGTCCGTCATTACGACCTTTTGTCCGGCACTGGTCAGCACCGCTCACACCTCCGGGAGCATTCTGACAGAATTCCCAGCTCACAAGAACAAAAGCCACTTTCACACGTTTACAAGCCGCGAGCATGCACCGTGCCAAACAATACCATTCCATATCTTTGCCCCTAAACTGCTCAAACCAGCATCAGAGTGTATTTATGTGCCACTTTAGTTTACTAGATTTGTCCTGGGTCCGACAACTTTACTTGATTTGTAAAACCTATTTGACTGGATTTGGAATGTTCTTGGATTTAAATTAGGATATGATCTGTCTGAATATTGATTCACACCACTCCATTACTATATTGATGGCGCTGGATGACATTGTGAAAGTACTGCAATGACTACTTTTGTGTTAGCAAGGCACAGGGCCAAGTACAATGACACAGTTGGCCTTAGTTTGGACATGCCTGCTCCAAAGGGATTGATAAGAGCACTGGTAAACCATGGAATGTTGATTAAAAGGAATTGTGCTGTGGAAAGTAAATGACATGTGCTACAGCAGTTGAGTCGTCCTTATTAACAATTTCAAATCCAAAAAGCAAAGTCACAACTTAATAGGCCAAGTGTTTCCTCCACATGTACGTATACTGTGACAAGAGAGGTCTGAGCTTAGAATTTTAATTTACCTCTCAACATAATCACATATGCTACTGTAAAATAGTATTACTGTCCTTCTTGCTGTGTGAATATCCTGGATCTATCCTAAGTTTGTGAACATGTTGGACTTGTTGTTGGTGCTAGAATGCGTGAAAACGTTCTGTGTATTTCTCTAAAAGTATCACATTTATGCATCTTCCCAAACTTTATAGGCCCCCGCTGATATCTGCCCCAGGTTGCCTTGGTGACCTCCACTCTCAGAAAGGGGCATTGTCCTGGCTGTTTGCCCTGTTCTGAGGCTGAGTGCTGGATAGGAAAGCAGAGAGGCTCTCCGGGCTCACAGGGGGCCACACTACCCCTGGTTCTGGCTGTTTGCCCTCGTCTGAAGGCTGAGTGCTAGACTCAGGGCTCAGAGGTGGCCACACTCACAAACCAACCGGGCTCTGTGATCCGCTCTGAAGAACAAATACTCATTTTTTCCAATGTGACTGAGTAACACTCATTTAGTGGTAGAAGGTCTGAAGATCATGTCTGATCTCATTGGCAGTTTTCCACCAACTGTCCCTCCTTTCAGTGTCCTTCACTGTCCTTCACTGTAACACAGGACAGAGCCATGTTTATGTACCATTTTAGTCTATAAACAAACCTTTGTTTTTGGTGACACAGGGACTTCCGCTTGCGGCTCTTCGAACCCAGTACTCGTTACGCCCTTTTTCTCATTGAAATTCTACATAGAATATGCACATCTTTGTGTAGTAATCCAGATATCCTATGACAAAAAGATGGAATGCCGAACAGCTTCCAAACTGGACAAAGTATTATGGAGTGGCATATGTTTAAAGCTCCCGAAACTTTAGGAGGTAAAGCCACAACAGTATATCAGTTTGCTGTCAGGGGCCAGGCGTACTTTCTATTGTCCAAAGTTTAGGCTTACTTGTTTTGTCCGGAGTTTTCTTAAATCGCGCAGTGGGGTCATATTGCAGTGTGCCCAATAACAAACTCCAGAGGGGGAAGGAGAGCTGAGCGGGGGGCTGAGCGCTTGCAAAAACAATATAAAGTCTTGTTAATACAAACTGAGAAGAGCCCGGTGTAGCAGTCCAGTTTAACCCCCCGCCAGATTATACCCTTGGTATAAAATGGCCTAGGCCAGAATATACCCCAGGGTATAAACTGGCCTAGGCTAGTTTAACCCCACATTGGCCAGATTAACCCCCCCTTTCATTAGATATAACAATAAAATACAAGCTATATATTTTTTTCTTTATTTCTTACTAAATTTATGAATTTATGAAATAAACTATTCTATGTAAAACCTATAACAATGATAAAACTCCATCCATCCATCTTCTTCCCCTTAATCCATTTCTGGGTCGGGGGGGTGGCAGTCAGAGCTGCACCCAATTCACTGAGCACCAGCCCCTCACTGATCCTCCTGCAGGTGGTGAGTCCACAGGAGGACGGCTGCTCTGTCAGTGACAATACGGCCTTGATTTTTCAGCGGGGGCTTCAGGCAATGCAGGGTTAAGTGTCTTGCCCAAGGACACAACGACAGCAGTCATCAGTGGGAGTCGGTGGAGAAGGTCCCGTGGTGGGCTTGAACCCACGACCTTCAGGCTCAAAGGCCAGTGCTCTACCAACTGAGCTACTGTCGCCCCAATGATAAAACTATAACAATCTAATACTCCCGTACTGTACTTTACAATACTGTGAGGATTAGATAGCGATTTGACCTACGTGCAGGACTATACAAGGACTCTGATGGTGCATCCATGTTATGGGACTATGATTAGCTATGCTCTGTCTCTGTGTGACACGTATGTCTTTCGATGTGTGACGTGACGTGTACTGCATTTATTCTGTCGGAGAGAAAGAAACATCAGAAACCACTGGAACTTGAGAGAAACCAAAATAAACTTCCAGAGTTTGGCGCACCACGATCCGTCTCTGTCTGGTTCATTCCTGACAATACCATACAGCAATATGCCCATTTTTTAAGGAATCTATATATTGAATACAAGTATATTTAGATATAAAAACAATTTACAGAACAAAAACTGCACTTTGAGTACA